GCTTAAATTCCAAGAGCAACTGACTACAATCAACACAGAGGTAAAAGAGCAGTTGGGAGCGATGAACAACACCATAAATAGCAAGTATGAGTACCTTGCCAACACCTTGGCTGCCATTCAGTTACAACTACTCAACTCAGATAAAAGGCCACATGAAGGAGAATCGATTTTAGGTGAGGGACCCTCAAACTTTGGGGGTAGTGGGAGTTTTCCCAGGTTCCAACAAAGCTCTAAACAAAAGTTACAGATTGAAAACCCTACCCCACAAATGATCAGCCCTTTGCCAAAAATAGACTTTCCCAGGTTTGATGGCAGTCAACCAAGGTCTTGGATCTTAAAGTGCAATGGGTATTTTAAATTAATTCCTAATGTACCTGATCAGCAGAAGGTGGTTCTTGCTGCCATGCATTTTGAGGGAAGAGCTGCACAATGGTATCAAAATTTCATTTCAAAACAGGAGGAGTTGGGTTGGTCACAGTTTGTTGATATAATTTCAGCCAGATTTGAGGATTTAAAAGAAGCCAAAATCATTGCTGAGTTCAATAAATTAAGGCAAAATGGGTCATATGAAGACTATGTGGACAGGTTTGAGGAATTAAGGGCATGTATGCTATTGATGAACCATGGGGGTTATTCTGAAGAGTATTTTGTGGCCAGTTTCATCAGTGGATTACCTGAGGAAGCACAAGCTCTCATCACCATGTTTGAACCTCCTAGTTTACCACAGGCCATAGAACTAGGCAGAAAACAGACAGCTACTTTGGATGCCATCTCCAAGAAGCTAAGGGGGCCTTATAAGCAGACCTATACACCCTTTCATAACACCAGGAAACCTGAACAGGCACAAGCAATTGCTGGGAAAACTACCTCACAAGTTACTGCCAAACCGCCAGTGAAACTACTCACAGCTAGTGAAATGGCAAAGAGGAGGGAAAAGGGCCTGTGTTATAACTGTGACGAAAAGTTCACATATGGACACAGGTGCAAAATGAGAGCAAACTTCATGATTATGACAGAGGAAGAGGAGTTGGCTTATTTACAAGCAAGTGGAGAAACCAACAGTGAAGAATTAACAGAAGTGGCCATGGATGAGATGCAAATGACCTTAAACTCTATCACAGGGGCTGAAGGTTTGACTACCATGCGATTATGTGGAAAAATTGATGAGCACCAACTCCATGTTCTTATAGACTCAGGAAGTACCCTAAGTTTTCTTAGGGAACAGACAGCAAAGGAATTGGGGTGTAAACTCGTTTCAGCCAAACCACTCCTTGTTAAAGTGGCCAATGGCCAGAGAATGGTCAGTTCACATATTGTGGAGGATTTTAAATGGGGAATGCAGAATCACCCTTTCACTCACAGCTTGAGGGTTCTACAACATGAAGGTTGTGATTTGATTTTGGGTGGAGATTGGCTTAAGGCCTGCACTCCAATTGAATTGGACTACAATAGAATGACTATATCAGTCAGTTAACATGGGAAGAGGATAAAACTACAGGCCCTCACCTCAGAAATTGATTGCCAACTAATTTCAGGGCCCTCTCTTTTTAAGATCATACATGAACAGGGAATAGAGGAAATTGAGGAGATATTTTGGATGATTGTGCCTAGGCCTACCAACTTTTCAAATCCTCAGCTAGCTAGTTTATTGGAAAGATATGATGATGTTTTTGAGGAACCCAAGGAACTTCCACCAAAAAGGGGAGTGGAACACCAAATCTTATTAAAACCCGACAGCATACCCAAGCATCAGTACCCTTACAGGGTATCACATGATCAAAAGGCTGAAATTGAAAAAATTGTCCAGGAATTACTATGTTCTGGATTCATTCAACCAAGCCACAGTCCATTTGCATCACCTGTCCTATTGGTAAAAAAGAAAGATTCTACCTGGAGATTGTGCGTGGATTACAGGTATCTTAACAACCTCACTATCAAACATGACTATCCAATCCCCGTCATTGATGAATTGCTTGATGAGCTACATGGTGCAACCTATTTTTCGAAAATAGACTTGAGGTCGGGTTACTTTCAGATTTTGATGCAACCAGAGCACAGGCATCTAACAGCATTCAACACACATAGTGGGCAGTATGAATTTTTGGTGATGCCATTTGGGTTATGCAATGCCGCGGCCACCTTCCAATCTCTAATGAATCAGGTTTTTAGAGAATTATTCAGGAAGTGTGTATTGGTTTTTTTTGATGACATACTGGTTTATAGCCAGAGTTGGGAGGAGCACCTACTTCATTTAGAGGCTGTCCTAAACCTACTAAGGGAGCATAAACTCTTTGCCAAGAAGAGTAAGTGCCATTTTGGGCAACAAGAGATATAATACCTTGGGCATATAATCACTCTAGAAGGAGTGTCTACAGATCCTCAAAAAATTGCCAACATGCTTGATTGGCCAATTCCAGCCACTATTAAGCAACTAAGGGGGTTTTTGGGACTCACTGGGTACTACAGAAAGTTTGTTAAAGGATATGGCATTATTAGCAAACCTTTGACAAATCTATTGAGGAAAGACAAGTTTAAATGGGATTCAGAGGCTGAAGGGGCTTTCAACAAACTAAAACAGGCCATGGTGACTGCACCTGTATTGGGGCTGCCAGATTTTTCACAGCAATTTATTCTTGAAACTGATGCAAGTGGCTCTGGTGTAGGGGCTGTACTAATGCAATAAGGAAGGCCATTGGCATATTTGAGCAAGACTCTTTGTCCAAGGAATCAAGGCCTCTCAATTTATGAAAGGGAGTTCTTAGCTGTTTTGATGGCCATCCAGAAGTGGAGGCACTACTTGTTGGGACACAAATTCATAATCAGGACCGACCAACAAGCTCTTAAGCATCTACTGGATCAAAAAATTATGACTCCTATGCAGCAGAGATGGTTCACTAAGTTGTTGGGTTTGAATTATGAAATACATTACAGGAAGGGGAATGAGAATAGAGCTGCAGATGCACTGTCCAGAAAAGGCAATGAGACCACCCAATTGGCTGCCATCACTATTGCCACACCCACTTGGACTAAACAGGTGATTCAAAGTTATGATGATGACCAGTTCTTGTCCAAAATACTGACAGAAAAGAACATGAATCAGGACACTTACCCAAAGTTCCAAGTGATAGAAGGATTGATTAGATACAAGGGCAGAGTGGGAATTGGAGGTGACAAACAACTGAGGGAGTCAATTATATCTTCTATGCATAACTCAGCCTATGGAGGCCACTCCGGTATTCAGGGAACCTATATGAGGATCAAAGGCAAATTTTTTTGGCCAAACATGAAAAAAGATATAGAGTCCTGGGTCAAGAAATGTGACACATGCATGAGGAGCAAGCCAGATCTAGGAGCCTACCCAGGTTTGTTACAGCCTTTACCAATTCCTGAGCAAGCTTGGTCCCACATTAGTATGGACTTCATAGAGGGCTTACCAAAATCTGGGGGAAGAGATGTAATTCTAGTTGTGGTGGACAGGCTTACAAAATATGCTCACTTCATAAGCTTATCTCACCCATTCACTGCTCAAAAGGTGGCTCAGCTATTCCTAGAGAACATACATAAGCTGCATGGTTATCCTGCCAGCATCCTTACTGACAGAGATAAGGTATTCACCAGCCACTTCTGGAAGGAGTTGTTTAAATTAGTGGGAGTGCAACTAAAGATGTCAACAGCCTACCACCCTCAGACAGATGGACAAACAGAAAAAGTGAACCAATGTCTGGAAACCTACTTGAGGTGTATGGTTCAGGACAACCCCAAAAGTTGGTCTAAATTGCTACCCTTGGCTGAATTGTGGTACAATACTAACTACCATTCTAGCCTAAAGACTACACCTTTTGAAGCTCTATATGGTTACCCACCCCCACTCTTATCCATGGGACCATATTTATCAACTAATGAACCAGATGCAAAGGATGTGGTGCAACAAAGGCAGGCAGCAATGCAACAGCTAAAGGAAAATTTAAAAGCGGCCCAAAACCGAATGAAAACTTATGCCGATGCACACAGACAAGAAAGGGAATTCTCTGTTGGGGACCAAGTTTTCCTGAAACTGCAACCATTCAGGCAAAACTCAATCGCCCTACGCAAAAACCTCAAATTATCTGCCAAATACTACGGCTCGTACACTGTGCTTGAGAAAGTGGGGAAAGTTTCTTACCGGTTGGATTTACCTGCTGACTCCAAGGTCCACCCCGTTTTTCATGTGTCTTTGCTAAAGCGAAAGGTCCAATCTTTAAGTGGGGTTTATACAGCACTTCCCTTTACCGACGATGAAGGGCTCTTTAGGGTCTTCCCTTCTCTGGTTTTGGACCGTAGAGTGGTGCAACGTGGCGGCGAGGACGTCGAACAGCTTCTTATCCAGTGGGAGAATGGGACTGCCGATCTCGCCACTTGGGAAGACGCCAAATTCATCCATCGAAAATTTTCTGGCTTTAATCCTTGGGGACAAGGATCGCCTTCTCCGGGGGGTATTGTAGTGAATCAAGGGCATGATGTTCTGGATTTGATCGGCGACGAGAAGCTGATATCGGTCGGAATTGAGAAAAGTAAGAAAGCCGACGACTTTGGAGGAATTGGGAGATTTGGGTTGGATCACGAAATGAAAAAGTGCAAGAAGGGAATAACTGAAGTGGATCTCCGACATGAAGAACCTCAGATGGGCTGTGCGGACATATTGGGCCATAAAGTTGAAGAAGCTGCTGTTAGTTAAATTGTATTTGAATTAATTAAGCCCAACTAGTTTATGTTTTGGAATTTAGCCGACTTAGGCCCAAATATGTATTGTGAGCGTGTGAGGTGGCAGTGAGCAACAAAAAGGGAATCTAATGAGAAAAATGGCAGCAAATCAGTTACAATTCTTTGTCTCTTTCTATTTCTCTCTCTACTCTCTCTCTCTCTCTCTCTCTCTAAGATCATCTTCCCACTTCTTCCCCACGCAATGTTTGCAGAAAAAACTCCATAAAATAGATAAAAATTAAGGATTCACTACACTCGACTACATATATCTTCATACGTTCTTCTTTGGCTTCATATTCTCATTTTACTTGCTCCACTACCAGCTGTGAATCAGCATAGAAAAGTCCTCGTCGAGCTCCCTTCTTGAGAACAAGGTGTATCTCTTGCAACAGAGGCTCATACTCTGCCTCATTGTTTGAGACTCGAAAAGTTAATTTCACCGCGAATTCCAAGTGGTCCTATTCGAATGTGACAACTAGGATACCCAGCTCGGCAACTCCTCTCGCCGAGGACCCATAAGTATATACTATCCAGCATCATTCCTCTTTACACATGGTACACTAATTTATAAAGTCAGCCAAGGCATGGGCCTTTATTGCTCACCTCGTTTTAAACTCGACATTATACTCACTGAGCTCAACCGCCCATTTTACCATCCTTCTAAAGGTTGAAGGGTGACCTAAAGTTTCTTTAGAAGAATAGTGGTCCGTATCATCACCATATGCGCCATAACGTATGGTCGTAGCTTCCGAGCTGTAGAAATAAGAGCTAACGTGGTCTTCTTCACTTTCTAGTAACGACGCTCAACGCCTTGCAATATTCGACTTATGTAATATATTGGCTTCTGTTGGCCGTGCTCCTATTTTATTAGCACCGAGCTGATAGACTACTCTCCCACCGATAAGTAAAAAACCAAAGTATCACTGGGTTCCAGCTTCGTAAGTAAGGGTAGCTCAGCAAGAAAGTCTTTTAGCTTTTCAAATGCATGTCGCACTTACGGTGTCCATTCAAAACGAGATCCCTTTTTCAGGGCGCGGAATAAGGAAAAGCTTTTCTTCGTGGCTTGAGCTATAAATCTGCTTAATACAGCTGAGCGCCCTGTCAGGATTTGCACCTTCTTCAGGTTCCTTGACATTTTCATGTCGATCACATCTCGCACCTTTTTCGGGGTTTACCTCTATGCCCTTCTTCGTTACCAAGTATCTTAAATTTTCCTGACCTTACCCCGAATCAACATTTTGGCGGGTTGTGCTTAATGCCATATTGCCGCAAGGTATTGAAGGTCTCCCTTAAATCCAGCACATGTCACGCTCATTTTTTCTCTTCACAGGCATGTCATCGACATAAACCTCCACGCTCCGCCCTATCTAATCCTTGAACAATTTGTCAACCAATCGCTGGTAGGTGGCCCCAGCATTATTGAGTCCGAAGGGCATTACGATATAACAATAAGTACCTTTAGATGTCACAAAACTGACCCTCTTACGGTCTTCTTTCGGAAGGGGAATATGATGGTACCCCTGCGAAGCATCCATCATAATCAGCAACTCACATCCCACCTTGGAATCGACGTGCTAATCTATTCGCGTCAAGGTGTAATAGTCATTCGAGCAGGCATTGTTCAGGTCTCGGAAGTCTATGCACATTCTCCATTTACCCTCACCCTTGCATACCGTCACTAAATTTGACAACCACTCCGGGAATGTATAGGCTGTATGCTTGCCT